ATATATATATGTGTGTGTGTGTGTGTATATATATATAATAGATATACTCTTATGTGTGCAAGGAAATATGTATAAATGTGCTCACTGTAAACTTTTTTAAATAGAAAAATAAGTAACCCAGATTTCCATCAATAGAGCATTGATGATTAAATCAACACTAACACATACTTATAGTGAAATACTGTATAGCCAAAATCTCTCTAAAGCCCTATTATTTTCACATGACGAAAGTAATACAAAATTTATATAACACTGCATTATTTAAAATAGGAAGGGAAAGCCTCTTGTGCAATAATTTTACTCTTTGAAATCTAACACATCTTTTTTGGAAAAAAAAGAGGTATATTCAATTCACTTGTTTGTAGGTCCCAAGGTGCAGGGCCATATCTGATGGGAGTCTTGCAGAGTTCGAATCACATTATAAGGGTTAGAGTGCTGTGTCCATCAGTCTTTCTCAATGCATCTTAACAATTTATTTTGGACATCTTTCCAATGACTATATATAGAGCTATCTTTTTTTTTTTAACTGGATGTATAAATATCCTGTATTTCACTGTAAGTATGTGTCAGTGTTGATTTAGCCATCAATGCTCTATTGATGGAAATCTGAGTTGTTATTTATTTTTCTGTTTTAAAAACAAGTTTATAATGAACACATTTATACATACATCTTTGCACACATAAGAGTATATCTAAAGGTTTAATATCTAAAAGTGATATATCCTGTGTCAGAGACAATGGATATTGAAATTTATAATAGGCCAGCAAAAATTACTATCTAAAAAAAAAGTCTAATTTATACTCTCATTTACAGTTCATGAGAGTAAAGAAAGATGCAATGTAAAGTGAGGATTAAGATTTTTGGGGAATTGGGACCAGCAGTTAGCGTAATGGCTATGTCACTGGACTCCCATGTAGTCGACCATGGTTCGCATTCCGGACCTGGTGGCTTAACACTCACGCCGGGCACATGTGCGTGCATGCCCAAGATCCCGAGAGGAGAATGGAGGAGAAGGGGTTGCGACTTGGCCATCCTCCCTGGGGGGTGATTTCTTGTTCTCTGTCTCTCTGTCTCTCTCTGTCTGTCTGGCGAGTGCACGCACTCTATAGCAAAAACCTCTCAAAAAAAAAAAGATTTTTGGGGAATTGATTGTGGAAAGGAAGAAGTTGAGTATCTGGGAGGATGAATTCAAGGTAGTAATTCATACAAATAGCATTAAGGATGATTAATGTTCTACCTAGAAAATACAGTCATGTGAAGTTCTGAGAGTTGATTCAACTTCCTAATAATAGTCTTAGGATAACAAATTGTCTAGGACAGACTGAAGAGTTACTTAGATGAGATCAGTGGGTTTAAGACAGGGAAATTAGCACTGAAAGCCAAAACCACAGCTGATTTCAGATTTACTACACATTATATTTGGTAATTCTGAATGACGAGATAAATGTCTTTTTATATTAGTAGCCATGCACTAACTAGACCCGTTGTTTGTAAGACATATCATAAGCAAATTACCTTAGTGTCAGGGAATTTGAGTTGGGGGTTCTGTACATAGTTAACAACAGGCATATAGAAGAGAACATTTATAGATTTGTTTTATGTGTATGTGTGTGTGTGTATTTCAAGAGAATGATGGAGAAAAAAACATATTGTAATAGAATCATCAATCTTATTCCTTTCTTCTTTTCTTTCTTCCCTCCATTCCTTTCCCCATCCCCACCCCTTTTCTTTCTGTTTTTTTAAGTTTCCTTCCTCTTTCTTTCTTTCTCTCCTCTTTCCTTCTTTCTTTTCTTCCTTCTTTCCTTCCTTCTTCTTTCCCACAGTCAAGAAGAAAACAGAGTATTGGCTCATATGCTGCTGATTTGCAGATTTCGCTCTACTGAGGATCCTGAAACCATAAATAGAATTATTCAACGTGTTCTACCTCAAAAGTTACAAGATGCTGTAGGACCCCCTAAAGTAGATCCTGCATCTGTTGAAATTAAAAGTAAGTTCATTTCTCTTACAGAGATCAGAGTTGTCTTTTTATTCTCAGGTCTCGCCACCAGTAGGACATTTCTTTGGAACTAAGTTGGCACTAATGAAGTATTTAATTTTTAAGCCTTAATTTTAAAAAGTATCCTAAATTTATGCCCCACATGCAAATTGGTCATTAACTCTGGGGCAGGTTCACCTATATTGAGCCCTATATTTTAGTATTTAGAATTCAAGTATAAAAGCAGACAGTAGTTTTGTATATTTCTCTTCTTTTTTCTTCCATTTGATGTTCTGAGAGTATGACATATGGAAAGTCTGTGTCATCCACATATTTGCTTTTAAATATCATTTTTTGTTAATGTTTGTTTCCTTAATCCTTTAACCAATGAAAAATTTATAATTTATTCATACTTAATTTTGGTATATTTTACAACTGCAACTGGAAACTCTGAGGTGAATTTTTAGCTGTTATTGTTGTTTTTGTTTTTGCTGGGTCATGGGGGACAACTTACATGGTGACAAGTTCTAATTATTGGAAAGTAAGAAGCAGATTCTCTGTGGAAATAAAGGTCTGGTTAAGGGCAGAGTCCTATACAGTGCAGATCTGTATAAATATTAATACTCGTGCTTGGGCCACAAGCATGAGCTTACATTTTCTAGTAATCACATTTAAAAAATAAACATGTGAAACTGACTTCAGTCACTTGTATATTAAACCCCAAATTTGTAAATTATTATGACGTCAATAAGTTTAGTCAATGTAAAATTATTTATGAGGTAATTTACATTCTTTTTTTGTATTATGGGTATGACATCTAGTGTACATTTCATATTTACAGCACATTTTAATTTAGACTAGCTACATTTTGAAAGCTCATTTTCTGTATGTGGCTAGTGGATAGAATACAAGTTATGGCAGCAATAGAAACTAGAGAATAGGCAGTAAGTAGAGAGAAACAATATGAAGTGCTGGGACCAGCAGTTGGTGTAATGGCTATGTCGCTGGACTCCCATAAAGTTGACTGCGGTTCAAGTCCTGGACCCGGTGGCTTAAACTCATGTCAGGCAAGATCTCGTGAGGAGAATGGAGAAGGGATTGCGGCATGGCCATCCCCCTGGGGGGGTGATTTCTCACTTTCTGTCCTCTGTCTCTGTCTTTCTGGTGAGTGCATGCACTCTATAGCAAAAACCTTTCCAATAAATAAACAAAAAAAATTTTTTAGAAAGAATATGAAGTGCTAATACAAATGCTTGTTGCTCTCAGTACAGTCCTAAACTGATAGTCAGCTATCCTACTTGCTTAGGATGGAGGCCTTAGTTTTTAGGGCCATTTACATAATGTATGTACCCCAGTGTTGGATTCTCTCACCAAAAGCAGAAAAAAGTGTCATTAAAAGTTCTAAAATAGGGTCTGGCTTCTGGGTGGGAATGAAGAGATGGGCAGGTCAGGCCTGAGGCTGCATGGATAGTCTGACTATGAACCAGTGGCCACAGGAGGCTGGAGAAGCTGCAGGTTCCAGGGGACATGAAATGGGCATGTAAGAGATTAGAAGCAAATGGACAAGAGTGTGGCTGCCACCAGGTGAATGCACATACACTGGTGTCCTGGGGCACAGAGGAATAGGAGCTGAGAGACTGTCCCCTTGCATCAAGGCCAAAGATTGGCCAGGGAGGTCAAGGACAGTGATTCCCCAGACTGGTGGAAGGAACTGGGTCCAACCTTGCCCGAGATCTACTGCAGGGGAATATGGGAATTTTAAAGATACTGACGATAGTTAGAAGACGCAAGCTGGAGAAAGGAAGATTCCAATATTGGGTTCGGCCTTCTGTGCGACAGCAAATGCAAATTACTTACAGACAGGTCTGAGTGCCCACCTTTGCAAACAGCCCAGGCTCTCTGCTAGGGAACTGTTTTTCCATTTATTCAGGTAACGCTGGAAGCTTGAAAAACACACCAAGTATGTGTGTGTGCCTAAAATCCTCATAGGGATGAAGAAATGAAGGAGAAGGGATTGTGGTCTGATAATGATCTTATTGGGGGGTACTTTACCTGTCTCTCTGTCTGTCTGTCTGTCTCTGGTAAGCGCACATGCCCTCCGGCAATTAAAAAAGAAAAACAAAACTAAACTAAAATACAAGACTTTCTTCCACAGTCTCTAGTTTTTCATGTTGTTTTTATTTGCTAACTAATGTCATTCTAAGTGCAAAACGTTAAATTTTTAAATTACTAGCATGAGGGACCAGCAGATGGCATAACAGTTAAATGGCTGGAATCTCACATAGTAGACCGTGGATTCGAGTCCTGGACATGGCGGCTTAAAACTCATGCTGTCACGTGTGTGTGAATGCCCAAAATCCCAAGAGGAAAATGGAGGAGAAGGGACTGTGGTGTGGTCATTCCCCCCAGGGAGTGATTTCTTGCTTTCTGTCTCTCTGTCTCTCCAGTGAGTACATGTGCTGTATAGAAAAAAACTCTTAAAAAAAAGTAGCATGAAGTTTACTGTTCGTTTTTATATTGTGCAATGCCAATCTTAAATGCAAATATAAGCACACTTAACTTGTATGCAGAATCATAAATTTATGCGACTGAATTTTACAATTTATATATGATGTTTTCATTTGTGCCAGTGGCAAGAAATGTTGCGATAGGGTCTTTTATTCATTTGTGTTTATTAGAATACCATTGTTTCTTTCTGGACTCTAAGTAAGTTCTGGTTCAAACACAAAACACTGCCCTTGTTTATTTAGTGGTAGGCATAACACGCTTGTACAGCTTTGAGTCAAAATAAGTTTAATCTCATTTTTTATTTCTCTTCTTGATATAAAAGACATATTGGTAGCAATGATCTCTGTCTTCAACTTGTTGAGGAGGGAGAAAGAACTGGAAGGAAAAGAAACTCTGAGTTTCCCTATCTTTCTCTTTCTGCATCAGTATTTTCAGCAAAAGCTGTTGGCTAAGTAAGACAAGGAAGGATCAGCAGCGATATGTCACCAAGAAATGTTGCGATAGGGTCTTTTATTCATTTGTGTTTATTAGAATACCATTGTTTCTTTCTGGACTCTAAGTAAGTTCTGGTTCAAACACAAAACACTGCCCTTGTTTATTTAGTGGTAGGCATAACACGCTTGTACAGCTTTGAGTCAAAATCATAGAGCATGATGAATGATATATGAAATGGAGTGGCAACAAATCAGTGACACACACACTGTGTGTATCTGCTCTGCTCACTTCATGCTCAGTTATCCTATCAGGCTCCCCCCACCCCTTTTCTCTTTTTTAGTTTGCTATAGAGTGCATGTACTTGCTGGAGAGAGACAGAGAGGAACATAGAGAGAGGAAAGGTGAGAAATAACTCAGCAGGGGGTGGTGGCCAGACAGCAGTACTTTCCCTTCCATTTTCCTCTTGGGGTTCTGAGAGTGCACACCCACATACTCAGCATGTTTTACAAGCTACCAGGTCCATAACCGCACAGCTACAGGTCCATAACTTGAACCGCAAGTGAGATGCAGCTGCCTTAACCTCTGTGACACCTGCTGGCCCTGGACTTTACTTTCAAAACACAAGTTGCAAGATAAAATTATTGAAAGTTTAAAGAAAGCAATAGCAGAAAATTAAATCAAGCCCAAGGCCATTCTGAATGTGGGACCCAGGGCAATGCACAAGTCACACAGCCATGAAGCTGGCCTTGTCAATAGTGTCAGTATTGCAAATCCAGAGCTTTCTCTAGGGAGAGCCTGAGATAGAAAAGAATAGGTTATTTGAAACAAAGAGATTGAAGGGGGTCCTTTTAATAGTGACTAAAAAAAAAAAATGGTCAATTTTCTTTATTTTTGCCGTTTTCCCCAGAAGTAGTCAGAATGAAGAAAAAAGACTTTCCAGAATACAGAGTTCTGGTAAATAAATCACATTAAATACAAAAAGAAATTAACATATTAAAATTTGACATTTAGAATATCCATCTGAGAGCTATGGGAGTGTGAGGGTTAAGGCAGCTGGATCCCATAGGGCTGACCATGTGATTCAAGTGCCAGACATGCATGCATACATGCCCAAAATCCTGAAATGAGAAAAAAATGGAGGAAAAGAGATTGTGGTATAACTATCCCACATGGAGGTTGGGGGGGGGTGCTTTCTAACTCTCTCTCTCTTTTTCTATCTCTTTCCAACCAGTGCACACACCCTCTAGCAAACTATAAATGAATGAATGAATATCCATCTTGCCACATTTAAAGAAAACAGTTGTGGTCATTGGAAATATACTGAGTTAGGAAGCTCGAGAGTTTAAGACTTTTATATGCCTGTTGGCTTAGTGTTTGTATAGGGTTAGGTCCTGACTGTTGCTAAGCCAACAAACTAAGGAGTGATTGTTTGGAAATGAATGACAGTTTGAGGGTGAGCTGTCTTTCCAGAACCTCAACAGAATGGAGACTTAGAAAGAGACAACATTATGGGGCCAGCAGGTGGCATGGTGGTTAAGGTACTGGACTCCCACATGGCTGACCACGGTTTGAGTCCCAGACTTGGCAGCTTGCTTTCTCACTGTCCTTCTCTCTCTCTCTCTCTCTCTGGTGAGCACATGTGGCTGTAGCAAATTAAAAAAATCACAATAACTAAAATAAAATAAATAATTCTTAAAAAAAAAAGAAAGAGACAACATTATTTTCACATGTGAATGAGGACTAATTTATGGAGATACAACTCAGATGTGTTCACAAATGGGAGTATAACTTATAAATTTAACAAAATAATCAGAAGTAATAATCAGTAAAAGTATCATTACATTTGGGAAATCAATACTATGGTTTAGATCAGTATTTCCCAAAGAGAGTCAAGGGCTTCTTGCATCTTATTTTATGGCACAAAATTCACATTCTTTGGTTTTAATACAAAGCTACTGGATCAGAATTACTGGGAAGGGAAACAGTCCCTATGTGACTCTTATTCACTTTAAAGTTTAAGAAACATTACTCATGTCTTCCTTCCTCTCCAAAGTGTTGATCAAACTATGTTTCTGATGAACTAATCATATTGCTTTATTTAATCACCCTAAGATACTATGTCATAATGGAATTAAGCAGCTTTTTAGTATTTGAAATACTCAGAGGCATAGTGCAATTATGATGTGCTGACTTTTTCTATTCATCATTTCTGCCTATTTCAGAAATCAACAAGACAGAAACAGACAAGTATCTGAACAACTGTAAGTTTAATATATTTATTAAAATTGTATTACCTGAATGTACGAATTGTATTACCTGAATGTATGAAGTTAACACTGTAAATCATTTAGGCTCACTTTGTGCTGATATTTACACAATTCATGGTTCTTTATTGTACCTCTTAAATTTTTAAAAAATCTCTTTATCTTATCTCCATTTTGTTACTAAAGAATAGTGAAGTTGGGAGAACTTTGGAGTGGATATATGAGTGCCCATGGCAGATGTATAGTGAGAGTGAATTGTGCAACTGTTAAAGAAGAGGCAAAAATGTTCACTTATCAATGTCGTGTCTGCAGATAGCTATAATATACTCTCATGGAAGTTTTCTAAAGATTATATAAAAGTAATCTATGTGTTGGTGTTTTGAAGATAGAAGCAGAAACTTACTGCTATTCTAGTCTAAATTAAATCTTTCTGTTATTAATCCCACATTAGGAGAACTGTACACAATTATGAGGTTGGGATATGTTTTGATGAAATTACTGAAGGCCTAGATAATACATATACCAATATTTTGAAAGTGCTGACTCTAGTCCTAGTACTTTCCTTCCCCTTTAGCAGAGCACCACACTATTATTTAGAGAAGACATTTACTTGTTACAGAATTAGTACATGCTACGTTTATCTTAAAAGATGGAAGGAATTAAAAGATGGAAGGAAATGTGCTACTCATTAGCTCAGAATGTTAATTAATTTATAAAATCAAATAAACAAAACCATAAGATAATCCCCTTCTCTAAATAGATATATTTTTTGCCACTGATACTTATTGGGAACCTACTTCAGGCTCCACTGTGTTACACAAAAGGGATACAGCGTGGATAAAATATCATTTCTGCCTAAAGCACCTCATACTCTAACAGGAGTAGATACATGAGTCTAACGAGTGAACATATAATTATTTAATGGCAGTTCTTAACCAAGGCCAGTTTTGACACTCTAGGTATAATGCTCCACTGCGGCCTTTTTCAGGGAAGTGCTACTGGTATCTCTCAGGTCATTGGAAAAGTCATGATGTATTTTTCTATGTTTTTCCATGCAAAATGTGTCATGACTTTTCAGGTGACCTGATAGTATGTACAGGCCAGAAATCTTCCCGAATATCCTGTGAGCTATAGGATAGCTTCCCACAACAAAAAATTATCTGATCCAAAATGTCTATAGCTACAAGGTTGAAAGACCCTCTTATAAAAAATACTATGAAATACACACAAAAACACATAGTATGTATACATATACATATTATATAGAGAGAATTATTATTATTATTATTGTAACAATAAAGATATAACTCATCAATTTTGGAGGCATGGAAATTGGTAGAGAAGGCATCTGAGAAAGCATAACAACTAATTTAAATTTTATAGGATGAGTAGGAGGTAAGTAAATGAAACATTACAGGATAAGGAAAGTTAAGAACAAGAGGAAATGTTTGATATTACTGTCGAACAAACTACCAGAATTTAGGGATGTAGTAATAGAATTTGATATTTAAAAATAACTGCTAATTAGTGAATTGTCTCTGTTGGGTAGGTTGTGGGACACGAAGGAGTAAATCTGCAACAGAAAGTCTCCGGATCGTTGGTGGGACAGAGGTAGAAGAAGGTGAATGGCCGTGGCAGGCCAGTCTGCAATGGGATGGAATCCATCGCTGTGGAGCAACTTTAATTAATAGCACCTGGCTTGTGAGTGCTGCTCATTGCTTTAGAACGTAAGTCCTGAACTTCACAAGTGACTGTGGGTAAGCAAAGTGTATTGGGTATTGCAAAGAAGGAAATACTTCATGAAGTCTGAGAGAAGGGAGTTTAGTGTGAAGTAAAGATAACACGTACACCACAAAGGCAGTAGGAAACTCATCAATCTTTCTTTTATTTTTTTTTTAGGTTTTTGTTATAGGGAGTGTGTACTCACCAGAAAGACAGAGAGACACAGAAAGAGAGAAATCAGCCCCCAGGAAGGATGGCCACACCACAATCCCTTCTCCTCTCGGGATCTTGGGCATGCACGCATACGTGCCTGGCATGAGTTTAAGCCTCGGTCCGGTACTTGAACTGCAGTTGACTACATGGGAGTCCAACAATATAGCCATTACACTAACTTCTGGCCCCCAAAACTCATTAATCTTAATAAGGGGTTTATAATCTAAAAATAGAAATGGTTTCAAAGTACAGATGCTTCCCAACTTACAATAGTATTATGTACCAATAAACCCATCATAAGTTGAAAATATAAATTGAAATGCATTTAATACCCCCAATAAACCTATTGAAAGTTGAAAAATTTTAAGTAAATTTTAAAAGATTTATTTAATTTTATTAATTATCATCATTATTATTTTTCAATATGACCAGAGAGAGAGAGAGAAAGAGAGAAGGAGAGTGAGAATGCAAACTGCCAGGTCTGGGACTCAAACTACTATTGGCAATGTTGGAGTCCAACACCCTAACCACTATGCCACCTGCCAGTTACAAGTCAAACTATTCTAAGTTAGAGACTGTCTGTACATGTACATAAATTATCCTCTGATAATACATAATAGTTTGTCAAAGGAAGCAGCAAAGTCATTCTTGGACTTTAAGCTTGACGTCAAATAGAGGAGTCATTTCTCTCTTCTGAGTATCTGTATCAGAGATGGAGGCTACATAGATTATAGATGTGACCCTGATGAGGACATTCCATGTAGTGCAAAAAGATAATTATGTACAAAGAAATCTGGAAGTAACTAATCATGCAACAGAATAGATTGACTACATTTCAAGGATTGACTACATTTCAAGGAATGGAGGATCTTTTGTGTTTTTTTTTTCTTTTTCTTTTTTAAAGAGATTTTTTGCTATAGGGCATGTGCGCTCACTGGAGAGACAAGGAGAGACAGAGAAACTGAAAGTAAGAAATCACACCCCCCCCCCCCCCCCCGGGGGGGCGCCCCCGCGGGGGGGGGGGGGGGGGCCCACGCCCCCCACTGCAATCCCTTCTCCTCCATTCTCCTCTTAAAATTTTGGGCACACATGCACACGTACCTGGCATGGTTTTCAAACAGCCCAGACCAAGACTCAAACTATAGTCGACTACTTGAGAGTCCAGATATAATGATTATGCCATCTACTGGTCTCAGAATGGAGGGTCTTTTAAAAAAATGTCAAAAAGTCTACAGTATACAGGATAATAACACTTTTAAAAATGATTGTATTGCTTTTTAGTTTTCAGAGTAATGTATATATTTGTGGGCAGGGGGCATTGGGTATACAGAATACATTTAGTTCCTACTCTGTACAGGATATATTTTCCATATGTCCCTTGGAGTTTACTGATATCTGAAATTGTCAAAAGGCCCTAGGATCAGGAGTAGGTGACCAGCATACAAAGTGGCATGGCAGACTAGGAAGTATGCCATGTGGCTTTTCTACCTGATATAACCCCTTATTTAAATCTGTTACTGGGTTGCTAACAGAAATATCTGAGACTAGGTGATTTATAAAGAATAGAAGTTTATGAGGCTCACAGTTCTTGTGGCTGGAAACTCCAAAGGCATGCAGTTGGCATGAGGCCAGCTTCTGGTGCTATGTTACAATGTGGTCCGAAGCAGGGAGAAGGGGGAGTCAGGTTTGTGCACAGAGAGAAAGAAATAGGAAAGAGACTTTCCCATCCTCTGTTCGTTCCTCCCACACTCCCAACTGATTGGATGGTATTCACTCACTTGAGGGTGGATCTTCCTCTGTCAGTCCTCTGACTCAAACTGGCAAGGTGCCTGCCCAAATTAAATGCAAGTCTTTCTCTTAATGATCTTTTTAAAATTTTTAGAGAGGTTTTTGCTTTAGGGTGCATGTGCTCACCAGAGAAACCAAGAAAGACAGACAGAAAGTGAGAAATCATTCCCCCAGGGGGATGGCAACACCACAGTTCCTTCTCCTCCATTCTCCTCTTGGGATTTTGGGCACACAGCCACATGCACCTGGCATGAGTTTTAAGCCACTGGGT